TTGACAGACAACTGCCATTTTGATGTGTAGGATTGATAATTATCCAAACAGTTTTGTAATCCCTTTTGGGATTTTGAAAGAATCACAATATCATTTGCATAGAGAAGGCAATTAATGGGTGTGTTGTGTAGTAGCTACAGAACTGCAGCTAGTTGTGTAGCAGTGTAAGATTTCATCGCCCACGGTTTATGAAAATGCTGACAGTAATCTATTGTGTGATCAGTGAGGGATTCTATACTTATCACATTATATATTTCTAGGAATGGGTCTACATGTACCAGTACATGTATAATTAATTGGTTCCTCCAGATTTTAACTCATAGTGAGTACAGTTGAAAGCGAGTTCTTTAGATAACATGTGTACTAATACAAACAAATCTAAATACCCCATGAATTTTAACTTTTGGCCCATGTACAGCACCAGTTCAACATATCAAAACATCTTAAAAAATGTTCTTCAATAAAAAGGAAATCATTTTTGACAACAGACTGACTATTGTTTAACTCCTTATGTTTGTTTCAAATAAGTTTGCACAGCAGCAACTTGACTTGAGTCGTGTCATTTCAATCACAATCAACTAATGACTTGATGTCCACAGTTTGTATTGTATGGTTATGTTAGTTCTATCTTTAGTCAAATGATAAACTGGTCAGCGGCATTTCACAATTATTTGTGGTCTACTTCTATTTTTTGAAAGAGTAATTTTGAAAACTGTGGTCACTTGGAACTTTCAACACAGAGGAATATTTTTATAACTGTTTTCAAAAACTATTTACATTTCATACTGTTTCGTGAGGTGAAAATCGGGTTAGGTCTGAAATTGGATTATCAGTTTGGATTTGAATTTGTCTACAATGGGGTGATTCCTATCTAATTTCAGATGAGACTCCACCGGTCATCCCCGCGGAGTGTGATTTGAACTAATAATGAAATGGTCAAACATTGACAAATCTTTCCAAAACGCACATTTCAATGGATCAATGAACTGCATCAGGATTCGGTTGTTGACCACGGCGTCGCTCACAATCACAAGGTAAAGTTCAATATGCGTGTTGACTAGATGCAGCAATTTTGTACCACTTACTTCAAAAATCCGATGAACAAGCCACCGTCTACAAGAATACGAGTGTGTGGTACCCATTCTTGCGATTTAGCACCAGAGACAGAAACTTTCCCCTCGATCTTGTACGTTTCCTGTGCATGACTACCTACGTCATCGTCTGCAAATACCAATTGAAAATTAAGACTACACAGCAACACTAAAAACGAAGGTAACATGTCCCCTGGAGAAATATGTTCCAAAATGTGTTCAAATAGTAACAGAAGTGATAAATCGGGATCTCAAACTCATGTGCGTCGATATAAACCCAACTCTTATTCATTTACTCGTCATTGTACCGAAAGCGAGGCTAGATTGCAGTATTATTTCATAGGGGTAGTTATTTTACTAAAACGTAAGTATTTGGAATTAATATTTAAAATAAGACAATAGTTTGTTTACCCTTTATCTAGATTAATTACACAAACTATGTATTCTTTTTATTTATAATACGTAACACCAACAGTTATGACTATATTAGTAACACAAAATGGTAATATCCTTTTAAATATTATAATGACCTAAACAGGTAGTTAACATAATCAAGATGGCGGCCTCCATATAATTTATCTCGCCTTTTCTTTTCTCCGACAATTTTTTTATCGGATGAAATAATACAGCCAACATGTAAGTATATTCCTTCTAAAACACAGTGTTCGGTTATACTTCTTGAATTACTAATACGGATTGAACGTCCTATTTCAACATAACAGTTTTACGGTAGTGAAAGTAAGTGGTTTGGCTTCATAACTCATCACGTTATCTCTACATTATCAGCAGGTCATTTCTTCGAATTATACAAACGCAGCTATAAGGAAAACAAATACTGTATGAATGAAAATTATATTGATACTTTCTGGGTTTTTATTTGTTTATTCGTTTAATTTGGCATATAACGCAAATATTTATTATATAATTTTTGATTAATATATAATTTTAATTAATAAAATAATAATCAAAATGTTCATACGTTTAATTCCTAATCATAAAGGTTATTTATATAAATTCATATATTTTGAAATCATATTACGGATGACTTGTTTTTCTCAGTTTTCACTTTTTCATATTTATTCCCATTGAATTATAGTTGTAGAAATATTTTTTTAACTATACATAGCAGTGAGCATTAGATTATATTACGTGATTTGTATCACCAGCCTTACTGGGTTCATAGTATCTACTCAAGTATTTGATGACTTGAATATTAATAAAATTTGACAATGTTAATAATGTGACATTTCTGATATCTGATGCCTTCTCTTAATTGTTTTGATATTGTTAGGGCACGTCATAGGATATCTGAGTGTAATATATTATGACCACCTTTCTGATCTCCAGTTGTGTTCTGGTTAATCTGGAAGACTGGAATGTTTTTCTCTGCCAAAAAATAAAAAAAATTGTTTGGGCTAATATAAGATTAATAACTCCTGCATTAGAACAAACATGACAAACATGACGCCATCATTGTATAGTCTGGAGTTTGAAACTTAGTGGTTTTATAAAGCTGTCAACTTCATTTACTTGATGTAAGTACATAAACCAAGTATTTAACTTCAGGCATTTTGTAATTCAATACCAACATTCTCAAAAATAATTTTCTAGATGGAAGTAATAAGGCTGTTATTTCAGTATGGCATGACATTTGTGATCGGAAAAATCAATTCAAAATAGTCCTATAGATTGCATGTAACTCGTAAATAATGTAATACTGCAAGGTGCCATGTGTTGGTGTCTCTAGTTACACTACTAATCATGTCAACATGGTTGCCATAGCGAGAGATCTTTTTTAGCCTCAACTATAATCTAATCAGGATATTGTATTTTGCTATTATCTTTTCTTCATCACAGGGATACTTCAGACTGAATTTTATTGGAGGGTTGGGTTGAGAGACTCCTGTCATGTTCTCATAGATTATCTCCAATTCCAACCATCATCAGTATTTAATTATATCATCATGGTGATGTGTGAAGTTAATAAAACATTCCTTCCTGTTAAGGCTCTTTATTTTTTCTATTTGTCAGGTAAGTTGCTTTTCATTGAGTTCAACAATTCAAAGTTCATTGCTATTTTTTATTACAAGGTGTGGTATTATAGAATGTTTCTATGTTTGTTTTTTCCAATTGAATTTTAAGTTATAAAAAAGTATGAAAATAGTATACAGAGTAGACCATGTTCTATACATGCACATAAGGACAGTGTTTTGATTTCTAAATTGGTTAATTAAGTATTTCATTATACATGTTTGTATCTCCTTAGATTTATCACTTTTAGACACTATAATAAGAATAATGTTAAAATATTACAGTCATCTTGTGGTATACATATTTCATGATAGTTTATACATGGAGCGAAAAAATATTGTAGCTCCATAGTTTTTACAACACTTGGCTATTTTAAATACAAATATTTAATATGATTCCTTGTAAGTTGAAAATGGAAGTATGTAAACTCAGTGAACAACCATGGGACTTATCCTGTACATGTATATTTTCTGTATTTTTCGTTTTAACTCCATCTGACATCATTTCACAAACATTCTTGAACCAATTTCACTCAAACTTGGTATTTACATCTTTCGTGGTAGAGTACTAATGAACCTTAATTTGTTTCGTGATTTGATCAAAAATTGCTGACTAGCTGTTGCTGCAAGTTTTCCACTTGATTTTCAGATGCACTTTTTATGATTTTGTTTAAATATGCTATAATGGCAGGACAAAATGTGTTGAATGGATCAAATACTCAGGTATATCAGGGTTTCAATAAAATTTAACAGACTGTACGTGATAAAATCGTGCCATTGTTTATCAAAAATGCCTGAGCAGGTTTTCTTACTCAGTTTGTTTTATAATTTGATTTCAAATGGACATTTCATTTTCTTCAACCATTTCAAGACTATGCTTTGACCAGTTTTATGCACAAAGACTAGACATAATGATATTCAAATGTACATTTGTTTCAATATATGATATCTAAGGTAATGTATTTCTTTTTGGGACTGTGACATTTTAAAAGTGTAGTACATGTCTGTGGCATGTGTCACACTTCACACATAAAATACTTCTTTTTCTAAAAAAACACGCAATTATGTGTTTGATTATCACATTTCACAGTAGTTTGCTGTAATGCTTCTCTGTGATGTTAACATGACAACATATCTAGAGAATGAAAAGTGATATAAAAAATTGTATTATGTTACATTTGTAGAGATTTTTCATCTGGGAGTGTTATGTTGTTTTCTTGGTCTTCTCTTTAAGATAGTCGCACACAATTGATAATTTTGTACAATATCTCAAATTCACACTGTCCAGTTAGATCTAAATTTGGTACATAGACAATTGTGTCTTCACACACAAATACAAATTTATCTGTGTCACAATCCTATTAAAAATGGCCAACAGGCAGCCATATTGTTTGGTGAACTTCGCTAACTCAACTCACATGACCAAGATTGATCTTTCATTGCACACATATTATGATATGATGACAGGCAACATTCATTTATTTTTGTAAAGTCTAATGACATGTATTCTGATTTTTGTTTGTTACAGGAAAGGCCTCTCTTGCTCCCTATCTGCCTATATTCTTCAAGCAACTAGGTCTGACAACCCTTCAAGTTGGAATCATATTTGGCTTAGAACCATTCATTGGCTTTGCATTCAAACCAATATGGAGCTTCATATCAGACAAATTGAGCAAACACAAACTGTTTCTGATTGTTGGTATGTTAGCTATGGGTATATTTACATTCACATGTCGGTTTGTACCATCATATCAGCACTATAGTAATGAAACATACAAGTCAGCAAACTATTCAATGTGCAATAATATGACTGAAGTACCTGTCCAACAAACTCAACACTTGGATCAAGATATTGAATGGATGGCTGTAAATATACTTTGTAATAATAATAATTGCTGTGATAGTCAAAATATCAGGCATATACCAGATGGATATCCTTACAATCATCCAGGAGTTCTTCTTGAATGCATCAAGTTATCTATATTTTGGAACAGTAGTACTTGTGAACAGCTGTGTAGCGACATCAGTGAACAGAGTAATACAAGTGATCATGACTGTACAAACAGGTTTACAGTACAACCTTATAGTTCAGTGCCTCTTAACATCACTGCAGCCACTTCCTATTGCCCAGACAAATGTAATTTGACAAAAAATGGTAACTCTGTTGTATGTAATTGTCCAAAGATAGATTTTAATAAGCTTAGGTCTACAAAAGAATCTTCATCAGTACCCAACACAACAAGATATGAAAACAGTAGCAGTTTATGTAATGTTACGGAACTTCAAGAATTCAGCATCGGAAACAACTCGCTCACGTTCTGGCTTTGTTTACTTCTGATTCAACTTGCATCTGCCTTTGGATGTTTAGTTCATCCTATTATTGATATGACTGTCTATGAACTTCTTGGTGATAAACGCGGCAACTATGGGAAGCAGCGGATGTGGGGTGCTGTCGGATTTGGATCATTTGCTGTGATTTCAGGACTTCTAATGGATGCATTCAGCAATGACTTTACATCGGCTTCCAACAAGAACTATGATCCTGCCTTTATTCTCTTTATCACATTGGTTATCATGTCATCTATTATTACAACTTGTCTGAATATGCCAAGCCTAGTTTCATCTCAATCATTGCTTGTTAACACAAGTTTACTACTAAGACAAGCTGATATTGTAGCATTTCTCATCATTGTTGTTGTCTTTGGAATGTGTTTTGGGACAATAATGACTTACCTTTTCTGGTTTCTACAAGAGCTAGGTGCATCTCAGACATTGATGGGTATTACTTTACTAATCACCTGTATTTCAGAAGCTCCTTTTCTCTTTTATTCTGGTAATATGATCAAGTATCTTGGACACAAAGGAGTATTTTATATAGTTCTTCTAAGTTACATTGTTCGGTTTGTAGGATATTCTTTTATTACTTCTGCCTGGTATGTGTTACCATTGGAATTGCTGCATGGAATCACTTTTGGTGCCATGTTTGCTGCTGTCACATCATATGCCAGTATCATATCACCACCGGGGATGGCTGCCACAGTACAGTCTTTGGTACAGGCATGCAATATGGGATTAGGTAAGTCATTTGAATTATAGACATTTGGGAAATACATTTGAATTGTAGACAATTGCAAAAGACATTTGAATTGTAGACAATTAGATTAGACATTTAAATCATAGACAATTTGGTAAGACATTTGAATTGTAAACAGTAGGGTAAGACATTTGAATTCTAGACAACTAATTTGGACATTTAAATCATAGACAATTTGGTAAGACATTTGAATTGTAAACAGTAGGGTAAGACATTTGAATTGTAAACAGTAGGGTAAGACATTTGAATTCTAGACAACTAATTTGGACATTTAAATCATAGACAATTTGGTAAGACATTTGAATGCATATACTTGATACACAAATGACACGTTAATGCAAGAGTAATTGGTCAGTTCATACTGTTAGATCTCAGTCAATAGATGCCAAATCATAGCAAATTTGGTGACTTTACAATTTGAAGAATTTTGTAAAATTGTATAGAGCAAATTGAGTCTGTGCACCCTTAAACATCATGACAGAAGTATTTACAATAAAAAATTATATTTTAGAAATGTTTTATATGCCCGGTATATAGTATTCAAGTCAGATAGGCCTAAAAGAAATTTGTTTGTGGTTTTTACCTTGCCCGTACCATCAAAGATGGAAGGGAAAGGTATATTAAGGGAAAAATGTTGTCCGGCGTTGTTGTCGTCGTCGTTAATAATTGTTATTGTGTACATAATAACTTTACTAATTCTATTCCAAACTTTATCAAACTTGGTCACCTTATTCATCAGTATAAATTCTTCCCTGAGTTTGAACAACAGATGTCCTGTATGAAAATATCATGCAAAAATTGAGAAAATCTGATAAAATATTTTGACTGTTTCTACTTGACTGATCACTGGTGATACACATCAAAGGTCACTGATCTCAGTGGAAATATGCATTGTTGTATGTGTTCAATGAAGCAAATGATTTATCTTGTAATAATATCCTTGGTAATGTATCTCAGAATCCCATACTGGGTTTCAAAACCATCTCATGAAGAGATTTTTTTGCACAGTCTGATACACATTTGCAAACCTACCAATAAAATCTTTACAGAAAACAAGATTTCAGAAAATCAATATGAGCACATCTATGAACTGGGTGCCTAACTTTGATCAAGATCTGAAGCTAATAGAAAATCTGTTTAGTTCAAAGTTATCAAATCAAAAACAATACATAAAAAATACATTAAAAGCAAAGTTTAAGAGTTTTTATAATACTAGTTTAAAAACGCACTTCAAAGATTGCAGTGTTTGAAGATGTAGATTCTCAGGAGGCAACAGCACTGTTGACTTCTCCCTCCACTGGACACCAACTAACTATTAAAGTTGATTTGCATACAAAGCAGAGCTTGCAACATGATAGCTATTCATAAAGGGTGTTTTTTTTTACTTTTCATATAATACAGTAGTCACACAATGAAATAATAAGGCAGTTCATATTTGTCTCAGTGAATCATTAATTTTTGACAGACACCTATACAAAATACTTGGACTAAAGCCAGCTAAAATTTTCTGTTATCTTGCATGTTTTATGAATCTATTCACATCTAAATGCAGCACTTTTTTTTTTCAATGAGACATTTGTTTTTATACTAAAATATCTGAATTACTTTGATTATGTTTCTGGTCAGTGCCTCACTACCCCATTTATATTTCTGCTCAGTGCCTCACTCCCCCATTTATGTTTCTGGTCAGTGCCTTACTACCCCATTTATGTTTCTGTTCACTGCCTCACTACCCCATTTATGTTTATGGTCAGTGCCTCACTACCCCTTTTATGTTTCTGGTCAGTGCCTCACTACCCTTTTTATGTTTCTGGTCAGTGTATCACTACCCCATTTATGTTTCTGCTCAGTGCCTCACTATCCCATTTATGTCTCTGTTCACTGTCTCACTACCCCATTTATGTTTCTGTTCACTGCATCACTGCCCCATTTATGTTTCTGTTCACTGCCTCACTACCCCATTTATGTTTCTGTTCACTGCCTCACTACCCCAATTATGTTTCTGTTCACTGTCTCACTACCCCATTTATGTTTATGGTCAGTGCCTCACTACCCCATTTATGTTTCTGTTCACTGCCTCACTACCCCATTTATGTTTATGGTCAGTGCCTCACTACCCCATTTATGTTTCTGTTCACTGCCTCACTACCCCATTTATGTTATGGTCAGTGCCTCACTACCCTTTTTATGTTTATGGTCAGTGCCTCACTATCCCATTTTTTGTGAGGTCTTACTGTTCACTCAAGCTTAGTTAGTGACATGTATGTTAATGTGGTTAAATAATAATAAAATATATTGTACTGCATATATGCTTATGTTGATTTTGTTGTTCAAGATAGACCTGTAATTTGATCTATACTATTGGTATCTAGGTAAAGGACTTGGAGCAATTTTTGGGGGAGTGATGTATAATGCTTATGGAGGAAGAATATTATTCCGATGTTGTGCAGGTCTTTGTTTCATCACAGCATTGCTCTACTGGATTGTACAGTTTTGTGTAGTTCATAAGACGCCTTTCTATAGTAAATTTAGAACCAGAAATGAGTCAGTCTCTCTTCAAGGTAAGTCTTTCATACTTCACTTCATTGTTGTTATTTGTTTTTGGAACTGGATTTGTATTTCTGTGATTGTCTTGAAATATACAGACATTGCCCACGACATGTAACCTGGTGTTTGTCAGTGGTCGGTTTTTTTTGTAATGTTTTTATTTCTCATTTGTAAAAGCCTTGTACTTTTTGTTACACGAAATAAAACAAATATATGGTACATATACTAATGACCTGATTCCATTTTTAGAAATTCACACTTTCTCAGTTTAATAACAACAAAGAACAAGTCATTGTCAATGACACGTCCCTGTTCCGTTCATATTTAAGTGACATATACATTCAAAGCAGATCATGACCGAAATGCACCTGCATATGTACAACACATTGTACTAAATCTGAACAAAATCCATCCATGCATGACTGAGATCCGGTTCCGGAATTGTGAAAATACGTGATTTTGATGCATTTTCGGCCTTAAAATGGCCATCATTCAGCTATTGTTAAGCGGATCATGAAACAAATGCACATATCTATTTGTGACATGATGTACAATGTACCA